AATGGTACCAGCGACTCTTGCAGCACTCAAGTGCTGCCAAGCGACAACAAAATATCCACAAATGGAGCTGTCAATCATCTCGACACTAGCCTCAGTAAGACAAAATCCCGCTCGGACAAAACAAAGTCCCAGTGGCCACTCTGTGAGACGGTACTTATCAACTTCCAACATGAGACTTCTGATATCAGACAAGGACAAGAAGTTCGTTCTATGCAGGGAGGAAGACTTTCTACGCAGGGCCACAGATTTTCTCAACCAGTCACAAGCTGTCATCTTACCGGAAGACCCAACACCAGCCGTATTAAGAAAAACAAAGAAAATAATTACTCTCCCAGGGGTTACTTCGGTTCTTTCAGGACGCTTGGACCCCCCATCCAACGTCGCTTGTCCCAGACTTTTCTTTGAAGCAAAAACACACAAAGAGAGCTGGCTGTTAAGGCCTTTAGTCAATAAGCGGTCCCACCCTACATACTTCCTTGAAAAAGCGCTTGCTAGATTGCTAGGTGGGCTACTTCCTTCCTCCTCCCAAGTAGTGTCCTCATCTGTCACTGCTAAAGAGAGGTTATGCGCTACGCTGGCTGGCTTGAATCCAGATACTTACACATTTTATAAAATGGATGTGGTTGCATTGTACCCTTTGGTATTGCACTTTGAAGCGGTGATGCTAGCTAATACCTTACTTATCGAAGAGGGCTTTACTGCACAGCAAGTTCTAGAGGTTCGCGAAGCATTACTCTTTATTACGGAGCACAATTACTTCCGCTGTAATGGAAAGATTTACCTGCAGAAGCAGGGGATGCCAATGGGCTCACCACTGTCAGCTGTATTGGCAGAACTCATCATGCGGTGCGTTGAACACAGTGTTTTTAAATTCCCTCTCACCATAGCTTACCCCTTAATTTATTTAAGATACGTAGATGATATTCTTTTGGTGTGGCAGGATACAGAAGACTCCTTTCGGGTATTAGAACACCACTTATCAAAAATGTATGTTACTATACACTTCATGTGGGAGAAGGAAGTTGGGAGAAAAATTGCTTTCTTGGACTTGCACATTCAAAAATCCCAGGAAGGCTTGAAGTTTTCCGTCTATCACAAATTTGGCAATATCCCACCCATAATACCGGCCACAGCCTGTCAGCCACAGCAATATGTTAATGCAGCCATAGCTCCCTTGATCAGACGGGCATTCTTACTACCATCGACACAACATCTTATCAATACCGAACTGGAAGCTGTTTGCACAGCGGTGTATGCGGCGGGATTTAGTGCCTCCAAATACATCCATGTTAAAAATAGAGTTATGCAGTCTCTCTTCCCTGCCACCACATTGCGCAGACCAAGGGATTGGACAACGCTCCGTCCCTCACTCCCATACTGTGGACGCTTCACGGCCCAGATCTTTAGGCAGAATCGCTTTCGTTTACCTATTGCCCCACGACCATGTCTGCGACGAATCTTATGTAATGATAGGGNAATTAAAAAAAAAAAAAATGAAACACCATTTTAAAGTGCATTTTTATTCAACAAATATATTTATAAATAATATGTAGCCCAAAATGTAGCCAATGTGCCAAATGATATTTTTTACACCAAACTAAAAAAGGGTAGCCAAATTTGGCACAAAGTTGCCAAATCTTGCAACACTAAAAGGAATATTAAATAAAGCTAGAGTTGGTGTTCAAAGGATTATAGACCTAAATTCGGAAAAAGGAGAGAAAGGTCAAAAAATAAAGAAGTGAGAAAGGTTAAATAGACCTTCTGTTATGCAAATATTCATCCTTAATTTTCCAACCTTTCTCAATTCTTTTTATTTTTTTGCCTTTCTCTTCTTTCCCCGAATTTGGGGCTATAATCCTTTGAGTCACAACTTTAGCTTTATTTAGTATTCCTTTCTCATTCACACATTTCAAGTATTTGAAAATATTTCCTTTCTATTAAAAAAATAAAATATGTATAAATGTTTACGGCTTTATGAAACTTTTTTTTTTGAGGTTTATGCCATTGAAATAAATAAATACAGTAGAACCTCGATTATCCGGACTAATTGGGGATGAAGGTAGTCCGGATAAGGGAAAATCCGGATAATTGAAACAAATACTTTAATTTGTCTTTTAATGATAATACAACACGTTTTCTTTTCGATGACTTATCAGTAATATTAAAAATAAATACTGTATTTAAATCCTGATCAAATTTTCAAGAAACAAACATTTGTATTGAATTTGGACTACTACTGACCAGCTCTAACAGACTAGCTATTGTTTAAAAGGCCCTCTGGCGGTTCAAGAAGACGGATTTTATAAAATAAAAAGCAGTTGAAACTGCATTTTAATGAATAAAAATTTGACAAACTATTTATCGTTTTATGACAAGTAAAATTTTTTCGTCGCGTTCTTGGCTTTTAAGTAATGCATAAACTTCGAGGCACGAGGCCCTTCGGACCGCGAGGCATAGGCGGTGGCCCACGTTGCCCATGCCTTACGCAGCCTTGGTCATAGAAATGATGTAATTTGAATATAAATTATTTATAAATACATATGTCAAGTTAGATTTTTATTACGACGCAAAATATATTTAAGAGTTTACAACCACTGTGCCGGGTGAGACGTTGTTGAAACAAAAAAGTTTTGCATTCCATCACGTACATAAACAGTGTCGTAATTCGCCAAGTGCAAATCAGCAAATTTGTAAAATTTTTGTTTATTTTGAACAATCCGGATAATCGAGGTTCTACTGTAATAAAAAAATTTGTCAGTTTTGTTTACATGCTTATTGGGCTGCATTGGAACTTGCCTTGGGCTGCAGGCCGCAGATTGGACACCCCTGGTTTAGTACTTCATATTCATTACTTTTGTTTTAACATTTTGTTCATTTGATTGTTGTTGAGGAATAATAGCATTCTTGCAATATATGAATTTATCCTGTATGAATTTTGTATGTTACATGTAATACTATATANTAATTGTACTGTACATTAAAATATTTTATTTATTGATTAGAGAAAAAAAAATTAGATTGCTTATATTTATTGAATTATTCATTGCACTTTTATAAATTTAATATATCTCTCATACTGCACTTTAGAATTTTCTCTTCTGTACAAATATTGATGAAGCGAGAAAGCATTTTATTTTTTAATATTATGGCAGGTGCACTAAATGGATTTTTAGCTTTATTTAGGATAGTTTTACATTGAGAACTCTTCTTCAGATCCTTATTGGCGACCGAATGCAGTACATTCTAGCATTAATGAAATACATTATAAGTATATACAGTAGACCCCCTATAACACAGTAGATACGTTCCGTGTTATATAAATTCTGTGTTGTGTGAGTCACTTAAATACATGAGCCAATCACAGCCTGGCATGTATGCAGTTTAGGGTTAGTCCCTATACTGCACATATGCCAGGCTGTGATTGGCTCATGGCTAAGGCTGTTTGGCTAAGGCTAAGGTCATTGCCTAAGGCTGTTTGAAAGGTTTTCTTTTATAAAATTAATCGATTCTAGCCTAATTTGACTCAACATTTCCAAAACAAGTATAAGTTTTTGGGAATAATCCATATAAACTATACTATAAACAAAAAATTGTAGAATTACTTACCAAGTGTGCACCGTTCGATGATGCCATTGCTTAAGCTTGTTTTCGTCGTGGAGTGGCTCATAGAACGGCTGGAACGTGTTTTCTGATAAGTTATTTTTCTGCGAAAAATTTGCTGAACTTTGAAGACATCATTAATAAAAATATAATTTTTATGGCCATTGAATAATAAATGATTTTTAGTAGGTCCACTGTTCGTTTAAACTCAACGGTTTGTGTAATATCCGCTATTGGTCCAGATTCGACCAATCCTGTCACAACACAAGTTGGCAATGACGTTTTACCGTGTTATATGAACACGAATGCAATTTTTTTTTCTGTGTTATACGAACCCATGTTATAGGGGGGGTCTACTGTATATCAAAGTAATGTTTGCATTAGTCAATACAATCACTTTTCAACTTATGACAGGGTTTGGTTCCGCAACTTCAGACGTAAGTCGAAATGGTCGTAAGTCGAGAAGTGACCATACTTACAATAAAACAGTTACCCTTCGCATGTGCTTGGTAAGAGGCTAACTAACTGCAGAACAAAACTAACGATGACGCAATCAATTACAGAAGTGTGCAAGATGCATATGTATATGATATATATTTGATGAAAACTATAAAAGATTGATAGATTTTAAAAATTTTTTAATGAAATTTTTTTCATTGTAAGTGCGAATTGTCGTAAATCGAGTTGGTCATAACTCAAGAAGTGACTGTAGATCATTAGGACTGAGCAGTATTAATATTCTGATATTTATTATACTCTTAATTTTGTACAATTTAAAGGGTGGTGTGGAAGATGTATCTATATATCCATTGCATGGTAAATAATGAAATTTGTAACTAACCATATATATAAAGGAGTTTCAATAAGGACCATAGCAATAGCTAATAGTATTGTATTAACAGGGAGAACTTTTACCTTCAATGAACTTCCTATCTACCACTGGAGGAAATATAATTCTCTCTACTTGAACATAAACCTTTTAACTCCCCAGTATTACTCTTTTTGGCAAACGTTTTCGACCCTACCAGGGTCTTCTTCAGGTTACCGTTTTAATAAATTCAAATATTGCAAAATCGAACAGTAATGGATTAAATGCGATTCAAATCCTAGAATGTCAACGTTTATATCAAAACTATAGAACACCACGTTCTTTCTCGATGACGTTAAAGCTTGCGTAAATTGCGCTTGTAATAAACGACATTGCACTCAATTATGTGTGGGGTGTTTCTTCATAACAAAATTTCCATGCTTTAGAGATATTAACTGCGTTATTTTACCTTCATTTCCTCAAAATACTAATTTTGCTTTTTACTCCTTTCTTCCACAGATCTCTTAAATTCAAATATCACATCATATACCAATTAATATCTGTCAGATTAACAAAATAAAAATAAAAAAAAATTACTAAACTTTACATTAAAGAACTAAATTTAAAATAGAGCCAACTAAAATAGAGCCAACTTTTATAACAGGAGATTGGTTAGAATGCAACACATCATTATGTAATTAACCTCAGGAATTGAATTGCAGCCAGCCATTTCTCTTTCCTCCCAGGGTATTGTTCATTCGGGAATAAAACTTTGTACCTGACGGCGCAGTAATATAGGTAACACTACAACTGACCACACAACAGTTATTTTTTGACGTTTTGTGTGGCAGAAAGCTGTGGTTCATTATCACAGGAAGAAAACAAGCACTACGTCTCAGTACGTATCCAACCCAAAGACACGCGTGTTTTCCCGAAGCAGTTTTCTTTGCCTGCATACAGGTAGCACTCAACTGAGTTCCACTAGCTCTATAGAGTCAATTTTGTACTTAGAGACATTAATCTACCAAACATGTTGCAATGCTGACCAATAAAAAGATTTTGGTCTCAAAAAAATTAATTAAAAACAAGACAAACAGCAAAAGCCATTAAAGATAGAAGTGGAAAAGAGCAGCCACAATGATTGAAGAAAATACTGTCAAAAATCTTATGAAGAGCATTTGAAAGAAACTTTGAAAGGATTGGAGCAAGACTTAATTGTTATAATTATTTAAGTCTTGAATGTGTTTTAAAAACAAACTTTTGAATAAAAGTGAAATCTTACTGATTACATTATAAATAAGAATGTTATCATCTTTTGAATTTTATATATAGATTTCTATTGCTACAGTCTTTATGTATAGTGATTAATAGAAAGTATATTTATGTTTAAGAGAAAAGAAATGTGATTTGAAAATAATATAGATTAGTACATTAGATGAAATAACAGGATGGAATATGATAGTTCTTTTATGTAATCTTTTAATATCCTGAATGTTTAGTTTTCTTTACATTTATTATATTATATTGTTTGTGTGTGTGTGTATATATATATATATATCCATTTATGTCACAATTTTTTGTATCTTTTTAGCTTTCTCAGGAAAAATTATACTTAATTCAGTTGAAATTAATTAATATAATACATATTATCTAGCTTCTTAATGTCTCTATGTGCAACAGATAAATGCAATTCAAGATACATTTGATTAACTGTTTAATGATTCAGCACATTACTATTCATTACCTTTAGTAATGTTATACAGGTTATAGATAGTAAGTGGGTGCATTGAAATGAAACCTGAAATTGAATGATGCAGCTGTAGATGAACTTTCATCTACAGGTACTGTACATCATGCAATATTTTTGTTGCACTATAAGAAATGCAAGAGAAGAGATTGAGGATATAGACACTATGCATGAATCAGTTTAAAAAATATAAATAGTTAAAATTCATAAACATTTCTGAAAGGATTTAAGAAGTTTAAGAGTTAGATAATATGTAACAGCAGGAAAAAATAGTATGTTGTAAAAATACTGAAAAATTTTATGCAGATTTTTTTGTCTATAAATTGTATGCACTACTTCTAATGAAATTCAGTTGCACCAGTGAATCAATTGTAGGTGATAGATCTAAAGTTGTTACTTTTATATGCTATAAATAGTCAAATGATTTTTATAATATAATAAATATAAAACATAATTTAAAATATTTATCATCATAATTTTTTAATAGTTATGTTAATTACATTTTTAAACATTAAAATAGAAAACGTGATCATATTTTGTAATAAGAAGGTGGAAAACTTAAAAAATTGAATAAATACAAAATATGTAATTAAATAATTAGAACATATTCTCAATTAAAACTTCTTCCAAAACTTCAGACTATGAGGCATTAAATATAATTAAAATATTTTATTCTTGCAAGTGCTTTTGACGTAAATATGCACGTTGTCTTCAGGCAATTCAAAAACGAATAGAGAATTCGAACCATACATTTAAATTTAAACATTAACGATATTAGCCATTTTTTGAATGTAACTATTATAAATAAGATTTAAATTTTAGAACTAAAAACATTTTAAAATATTTAAAATTGGTACGCATGCGTTTTAAAACAAATAAACTTCGATAAGAATGGCTATTAATTATTTTGTAAACGCGTTTTTGCACCCACATTTTATAAAATGGATGTGGTTGCGTTGTACCCTTCGGTACCGCACTTTGAAGCGGTGATGCTAGCCAATACCTTACTTATCAAAGAGGGCTTTACTGCACAGCAAGTTTTAGAAGTTCGCGAAGCATTACTCTTTATTACGGAGCACAATTACTTCCGCTTTAACGGAAAGATTTACTTGCAGAAGCAGGGGGTGCCAATGGGCTCACCACTGTCAGCTGTATTGGCAGAGCTCGTCATGCGGCGCGTTGAACACAGCGTTTTTAAATTCCCTCTCACCATAGCTTACCCCTTAATTTATTTGAGATACGTGGATGATATTCTTTTAGCGTGGCAGGATACGGAAGATTCCTTCCGGGTATTAGATCATCATTTATCAAAAATATATGCCACTATACACTTCACGTGGGAGAAGGAAGTTGGGAGAAAAATTGCTTTCTTGGACTTGCACATTCAAAAATCCCAGGAGGGCTTGGAGTTTTCCGTTTACCACAAATTTGGAAATATCCCACCCATAATACCGGCCACAGCCTGTCAGCCACAGCAATATGTTAATGCGGCCATAGCCCCCTTGATCAGACGGGCATTCTTACTACCATCGACACAACATCTTATCAATACCGAACTGGAGGCTGTCCGCACAGCGGTGTATGCGGCGGGATTTAGTGCCTCCAAATACATCCATGTTAAAAATAGAGTCATACAGTCTCTCTTCCCTGCCACCACATTGCGCAGACCAAGGGATTGGACAACGCTCCGTCCCTCACTCCCATACTGTGGACGCTTCACGGCCCGGATCTGCCGGATCTTTAGGCAGAATGGCTTTCGTTTACCTATTGCCCCACGACCATGTCTGCGACGAATCTTATGTAATGATAGAGATGCTATTTCCACCCTGGAAAAATCTGGTGTATACTCCGTTCCCCTGCAGAATCCAATATCAGGACTATGCACCAATTATATAGGAGCGACTACCAGAATGCTGGCTGCCCGCATATCTGAACACCAACGTTCGGTGGCACTTGGCAATTGCAACACGGAACTTTCCAAATTGGTGATACAACAACATCACATAGCGCTTTGGAATCGGGTGGAAATACTCAAACGCTGTGATGAAGGGAGCTTGGTATATATTTGGGAGGCCATCCTCACAAAACTGCTCTCCCCGTGCAACTCCCCCACCCTCGACTTACCGGACGTCTGGATTAATATATACAGGCAGTTAAAAAATCAACAATAATCTTACATTCTTTTCCCGCACCTCCTACATGACTCAAAGCGCATACGTGTCGGCCTCACTATGTGCGTCTTTTTACGTGTTTTATGTATTTTAAATTATGTCCCATGCTTTAGTCTTTAATATTTAAATATTAATGTAAACTAGCACTTATGGATCTATTCTGTTCAGTTTCTATGCTGTCTATGTTAGGGCGCATGCGTGCCAAAAATTTTATACGTATTTACAAAGGGTTTTTGTTTTTAATTTTTAATTTTAATTTAAAATGTAAAATTTACTTGTTCTTAATCGCCATCCTAATTGGCTCTTATGTTATGCATGTTAAGGTGCACGCGTGCCATTTTTTCGCGTTTACAAAATAATTAATAGCCATTCTTATCGAAGTTTATTTGTTTTAAAACGCATGCGTACCAATTTTAAATATTTTAAAATGTTTTTAGTTCTAAAATTTAAATCTTATTTATAATAGTTACATTCAAAAAATGGCTAATATCGTTAATGTTTAAATTTAAATGTATGGTTCGAATTCTCTATTCGTTTTTGAATTGCCTGAAGACAACGTGCATATTTACGTCAAAAGCACTTGCAAGAATAAAATATTTTAATTATATTTAATGCCTCATAGTCTGAAGTTTTGGAAGAAGTTTTAATTGAGATAACTGTTAGCATGACATCCAACCCCAGTACTTAATAGAACATATTCTATTATGTTTAACAAAAAAAAAAATATTATGAATCTATATATAGGGTGATTCAAAAGTCACAAATATAAAAAAAACTAATAACTCAAGCTATTTACATTAAGATGATACGATTTTCACAGAAATGCTTAGAAAGAAGTGAGATTTTTTTAAGCAGTTTCCTACAGTGCCATCTATAGCAAGAAATGCTTGCTATAGATTGGCACTTAGAAATGCTTGCTATATATTGTAGGAAACTGAAAGCATTTGTAATTTGTTAAAATAAGAATAAAAAAAATTAATAATATTCTTAGTATAAGCTCTAGTAACAACTACAGAAATTATGTACTCTTATCAAGTGCCATCTATGGCAAGAAATGTAACTATTTTTGGTACTAAAATTTTTATTACACCTAAAAAATCCCACTTCTTTCTAAGCATTTCTGTGAAAACTGCATCATGTTATTGTAAATAGTTTGTGAGTTATTAATTTTTTAAAATTTCTGTGACTTTTGAATTACCCTGTATATAGATTCATAATATTTTTTTTGCTATATATAAACATTTTTACTATAGTTATTTTTCAAAAAGTTTTTGCTTTTTTTAGTTACAAATACTATACAATACTACAATACTATAAAAATTTTACTTTCAAAATTTCTACTCATTAAATTTTATCAGAAATAGGATATAAACTTGTGACCTTATTAATGAGGAATGATGATTTCACAAATTTTAATATGAACTTTGTAAAGTTTAAGAGACTAATGCTTAATAGATTATTGCATACAAAATGTCTTTACAGTATTCATATCTGTTGAATGATTCTTATTCTTTTTAACTAGACTAGACACTATATGATTATTAGAGTTCTGAATTATGAGATTATTTATTTCATGGGAATTGCAACTATAGTTACCTTAAAAATAGTGAAAACAACAGTATTAAATTCGTAGTTTCTACTAAGCTGAAATTCAAGGTGACCTTCAGCTGTACAACTATCAGCAATAGTTACTGGACAGTGCAGATTTCTAGTTGATAGTTGCCAATATGAATGAAACTAATATCTTTTTTGTTTTACTTTTAATTCTTATTTGAAGAATTTAAGTTCAAATAAGAGATAATTTATGATTGAATTGCATTCTTGTTTTATGATTTTTACAATATCATTTATTAAATATGTGATTTTTATTGATATGATGGGAAAGAGAGATTTTAAAGACATAAATAATAAGAATTTAAATTAATTGTAGATAATTCGTTTTAAAATAAAAATGACAAATTAGTGAATAAATTTTTTATAGACCATATTAATTTCAAATTAGTTAAAGCATATTGGGCTCCCGTGTGATTTTGGAATTTCAATTTGGAATTTAATTCAAAAGCTTTGCTTTTTCTATTGCTATTCATCTTAACTCCTGACAATACACCAAAACGATTCAAATGATCCAGATAAAATACTTTTTGTTTTTAAACACCAGAGGGTAAGCATCTGGTAAAAAATGTGAATACATGGTTCACAAAAATTATTGCAAAAGCACAAAGAATCCTTCACTCGTACATATGGGATGACTTAGGTTTTGAAGCAGTGAAAAATGAATAAAAACCTCATGTTATATGTGAATAAATATGGTATATTAAACAACCCAAAACTATTATTAAAAATAGTGGATTTATAAGCCGAGTATTTAGGGCAAATGCTTGGCTATGTATGCAAGCATGTTATCAATTATGCTTGCCTAATTAAGTCTGTATTAAAGTTCAAATTCTGTTTTAATCAGCCTTTAAAAAGCATTTTAAAATAATTAATTAAATTAATTTAAATTATCTAATTAATTATTAAAGATATGAAATGATAGATTCTTATATACGGATTGTTAATGATAAGACTGGTTAAACTTTGAGAGATGATAAACATAAAAAAATTGTGTAATTAGGGGAAAAAAGCTAGTATCCAAAAAATACTTAATATTTGAGATAAAGAGGAATAAAGTGCTACAAAAATGTTTATTTTTTTAATTTTTCAGAAACAATATGAAATACTTTAGTCAAACTTTTTTATGGATTTTGCTGCAGGAAGCCTACATTTTTAAAGGTTTTTATGTGTGATTTTTTTCCACCATGGGTAGAGATATAGGATGGCATATTTCTTTAGAAAATGTATTTGACACCACAGGAAAACTAATTAATTTTGATGTTTTTTAATCTACATTAAATTTAGAAAAGAAAGTTACTGCTTTGTTTGAGATAATAGAACATCAGTCTTATTGTTAACACATTGTATAGTATTGAATTAATTATTTATTAATTAAATTTAGTCATATAAAAATAGGTGGATTGAATCTGGCAGTTTTGGTTATTGTTTTTGTTCTAAACTTGAGTTTATGGTATTTTTATATACCAAAAACATTGTACCTAGAATAAAATCATGATTAGAAAACATTGTACTTAGAATAAAATCATGATGAGAAAACATTGTACTTAGAATAAAATTATGATGAGAAAGCATTGTACTTAGAATAAAATCATGATTATTCTTACAATTAAAATAAAATATGATAACAAACAGTATTGAAAATGTCTTTGTTATTGCATTACCAAGATAGAATTTAACTGCTTAATTGGAGTTTATACTATTTATTTAATAATATTTTTAATTTTCTTTATTTTTGATTTCCTTAGGTAGAACTTGATATTGAATTGTGATACAACATTATATTTTACCTTTCAAAGTTATAGCAATTTAGTTGTATTAAGTTGGTTTTGAATTAGTGCTTCTAGTAGAAACAGAAAAAAATACTTATATACAACATTTATGACAATAATTTTATTAAAACTGATAATTCAGGTGCCCCAAATTAAACTTGACATTTTCCAGCTGGCTACAGCAAAAATGGATCCATCTGAGAGCATAAAACAACATGTTCAATGGTTGCATGTTGTGTATGTCTTGGAATGTTACACATATGATATACAATGCTGTCCTTAAGATTTGACACAAATGTTATGGAATCATAGAACATCAAATCTTTGAGATAGCCTCAGAGCCAAAAATGCATGGATTCAAGTCGGGAGATCTTGCAGGTCAATATGCCTACTATTTTAGCTTGAAAAATGCTTTCTAGTGGTAGTTTTAGAACTAACTTTTTTGCTCTAAAAAATTCCCATCATCTCATTAAGGCTTTCATGACTTCCTGATGATTAGTTTTTGCTATAGCCAGCTGGGAAATGACAAGTTTAATTTTGGACACCTTGTACTTAGGAACACAAAAAAAACCATCAAAACCAGTTGTAAAAGACAAATATATTTACCAGAACAAACATTTTCATGTTTCAAATGGACATTATTAGGTTACATAAGCCTAATGTAGAACCGAAAAATATTTTGAACTGAAGAACAAAATTCAAATCGAATTTTGGATAGACACATGTGCCATAGTATAAACAAATGAACCTTATAGCTATATTAAAAATGTTACTTTAAAAAATTAAAAAAACAAATGAAATTAAAGAAAAAACAAAAAGGAGATGATAAGATAGTTCTGTATGGAACTTCATACTATGTCCACCATATAGACACGTCTCCTTATAATTAATGGTGATGTGATTATTGATGACTCTATATATCTCCAGACGTTCAAAAATCAAACCAAAACCAGTTGTAAAAGTCCAATATATTAGAACATAGACTATACATATAGCTGGAGTTACTATACTAGTAATCAACTCTACCTTTCGACATTTCCAGAAGCCACCTGATGTTGCAAAATTGAAACTGCAAATGTTTTCAGTCCCATTTAGTGACCAGCTTCAGGCATTATCAGAATATTTACATAGGTTTGACTGCTACTACAAAACTCTGTGAAAATGCCTGAGGCCGGCCATTGAATGTGGCCTAAAATATTTGCAATTTTGATTCTGCAACATTGGGTGGCTTCTGGAAATGTTGAAAGGTCCACTATATTAGATTTTTACAACTGGTTTTGGTGTTTTTTTGTTTTTGTTCCTACCACAAAATTTATAACTATTAGTTACATAACTTGTACTTTATATTCTTTTGCATAAACAGATCTATTTTAAAATGAATATTCAGACAAAGTTTTACAAGGTTGATTTATGACATATATCAGAAATTTGAAACTATAGGTAATATTTAATCAGAAAAGACAGATAAACAATCCCCTTATATAATGAAATGAAAATCACATTAGTCATCAACAAGATATTTAAAAAATATAGCCATTAAAATATAATAATTATCAAACTTGGTACTAAAGATAAAATTGTTTTATTTGATAAAGATAGATTTTCATGTTTCAATTCAATTGGACTTTATAAGATCGACAAT